CAATGATTAGTCCTTGTCAATGTTTAACTCAAAAGCAACAATGATTAGTCCTTGTCAATGTTTAACTCAAAAGCAACAATGATTAGTCCTTGTCAATGTTTAACTCAAAAAACAACAATGATTAGTCCTTGTCAATGTTTAACTCAAAAAATAAGTCAACAATGATAAGTCCTTGTCAATGTTTAACTCAAAAGCAACAATGATTAGTCCTTGTCAATGTTTAACTCAAAAGCAACAATGATTAGTCCTTGTCAATGTTTAACTCAAAAGCAACAATGATTAGTCCTTGTCAATGTTTAACTCAAAAGCAACAATGATAAGTCCTTGTCAATGTTTAACTCAAAAGCAACAATGATAAGTCCTTGTCAATGTTTAACTCAAAAGCAACAATGATAAGTCCTTGTCAATGTTTAACTCAAAAGCAACAATGATAAGTCCTTGTCAATGTTTAACTCAAAAAGCAACAATGATTAGTCCTTGTCAATGTTTAACTCAAAAGCAACAATGATTAGTCCTTGTCAATGTTTAACTCAAAAGCAACAATGATAAGTCCTTGTCAATGTTTAACTCAAAAGCAACAATGATTAGTCCTTGTCAATGTTTAACTCAAAAGCAACAATGATTAGTCCTTGTCAATGTTTAACTCAAAAACCCGCAACAATGATAAGTCCTTGTCAATGTTTAACTCAAAAGCAACAATGATAAGTCCTTGTCAATGTTTAACTCAAAAGCAACAATGATTAGTCCTTGTCAATGTTTAACTCAAAAGCAACAATGATAAGTCCTTGTCAATGTTTAACTCAAAAGCAACAATGATTAGTCCTTGTCAATGTTTAACTCAAAAGTAACAATGATAAGTCCTTGTCAATGTTTAACTCAAAAGCAACAATGATTAGTCCTTGTCAATGTTTAACTCAAAAGCAACAATGATAAGTCCTTGTCAATGTTTAACTCAAAAGCAACAATGATTAGTCCTTGTCAATGTTTAACTCAAAAGCAACAATGATTAGTCCTTGTCAATGTTTAACTCAAAAGCAACAATGATTAGTCCTTGTCAATGTTTAACTTTGCAAAAACAGTAATTAGAAGTGTGGTATATATGTATGATTTTACATATATATACATATATGTAAATTTATAAAAGTTAATTCCATATTATCAACATCATTATTATTTTGTTATCATAGTTTTTCAGTTTGTCATTAATACCAGGGTGTGCTGAAAAGTTCCTGATCCAAGCAAGAAGAAAGACAAGATTCCTTTAAATCTTATATACTGTTCCACATATTCACACTGCAGTTCAATCATTTTTCAAGTATCTTCAACCTGCATCCTCTTGGTTTCTGTCTAAACTGATGCCTTCTTTTTTTCCAATATGTTCAGATCATTTTGTTTAAGTTCATATTTCAAGTGAAAACTTGGAAATTTTCCAACATTTTATTGAACTTTAACCTCTTCCTGCCAGCTATGGGTTAAATAATAGAAATTATATCTAAAAAAAAAATTTTATTCAAAAAAAATTTTTAATACAATATTCCCTCTCAAAAAAAAAGAATTATTCTTACAATGCTTGAAATAACTAACAAATTTTTGATAGTAAAAGACAAATCACTCAATGAAAATTTACACTTTCCAGTATTAAAGTTTACTCGTTAGAAATGGCATCATGACACTTTCCACTGACAAAAAAAATAAAAATATTACATTGATAAAGCCCTTCGTAAAGTGTGGGCTGTACTTGTCAGAACAAATTTTTGTATTTCTTTGAGGCATGGACTTCCAGCAGCAGCAGCAGCAGCAGGAGGAGGAGGATTATTATTATTATTATTATTATTATTATTATTATTTTCTTCTTCTTCATCATCATCTTTTATGAACCTTTATTGAAGCCTTTTTTGCAATTCTTTACAATTAATTGTTATTAACATTATATTGTTGGAATGATTTCCTGGAATATTGTTGAGTTATAAGATAGTCACAGCAATCAGAAATATCTTCGTTTTTCCCAAAAATATATTTCTTTCCATATTACTATTGAATATTAGCACTTAGTTTACACTCAGTTTGAAAGTTGGGATTTTACACGATAAATAATATCACAAAATATTTTATTCCAAATTGTTACCTTTTTTGAGGAAATGAGTTTAAAGATTATGTTTAGGTTCAAAATTGTAATGCTGGAATTTCTCTGATCACTGGAAAGAAATTCCAGCCTTATAAAATGTATAATTTACTGAAGCTTTACAAATTGTATATGGACAAGATGCATGGCACAAGCACAATATTACTAAATCATTGTGTCATCAAATAAGAAGACCTTCATTTGCTTCAAAGGGGAGTTATACTGAACAATTTTTAGTTATATTATGATATAATGTTATACAGTGCAGTAATTTTTGGTGTAGTATGATTTTCAATAAACAATACAAATTTAAAACATTTTGTCTTAGAATTTGTACCCAGCAGCATTATGGTATTATATACACTTTTATCTATTTTTTGTTTTTATTAATTATGTTCTAACAAATCTTATTCATTGAGTAGCCTTTTTTTGCAATTCTTTACAATTTTTTTTTTACTTATCAAAGGTATTTCTGTACATTTTTCTGACAATGTTTAAAAGTAAATGCTCAAAAATTGGTAAAATCTATGGATCTAAGTTTTGGTGTCAGTACTTAACACATCAAACTCCAGCTTTTAGAATGAGTGCAATGTTGATTTTCTAAAAAGTGAAAATCAATCTGCCCAATTGATAAGGGGCACTTTGACATGGTGTAATGGTTAGCAAGCTTGCCTCACTAGATCAATTGAGTAGTGAGTTCCATTCTCACTGGGTGCTCCACACTTTCAGCCTTGTGTCACATATAAGCTATGCTTAGAAATCATTTTTGGGCACTTTAATGTAGTATAAAGGTTAGCAACCTTGTTTCACTAGAACTAGAGTTTGATCATCACTAGGTGCCCCATATATTCTGCCTTGTGCTACAAGTAAGCCACGCTTAGAAAATCACAATACTATTACAATCCAGACCATGAATATTGAGAAAAAAATGATTAAATTTTATAATAGTTAACAGGCAGTCCAGTTTGCTATATAAATTCATTGTAAATTCATCCCCCCTATGAAACCCAAAACAGAAGACCAAACGACATGTTTTAAAAAATATATTTTTTTAAATTTATAATCTGGATAGTAATATATGCAAAAGAACTCCAGATTATGAATTTCAAAAATGTTATTTATCCAGAAAAAATCATAGGTATGTACATATTTTTTTTTTACTTTTCGGGGGTGGGGGGGATTTATAATTAATTTATACACTAAATTGGACACCTTCACCATTTATTTTATGCTAAAAATGTTTGAAACACTGAAATTTTTCTGTCTATGCATAATTATAACCAACATTTGTGTTCTTATATTTACCCTCCCCTCCCCTTCCTAAATATGTGTAATTCCATCAACAAAAACCTTACTTAATTTAACTAATATATATATATATATATATATATAGGATTGGTGTATACGGAATAAATTCCAATAACCATCAATTACTATTGTTAAAAGAGTGCTCAATACAGAGTAGAGCAAATATAATTATTTATTTAAAAATTATAACATAAATATGTTATAAAATCACTACAAAAATAGCCATTTTGTTTCAACACCTCTGGTGTCTTATCAGGTGATGATCTTGCATGTAGAATATTTTTATTCTACATTCAACATCATTTCTGATTTAAACTAACTGATTTAAAAATATGTTTTTTTTCTTAAACCATATTTTTAAATCGGTTAATTTATAATATATATATATATATATATATATATATATATATATATAAAAGTGGACACTGAGGTCAACAACAAATGGCAGCAGTTTTTCATGCTTTCTAGTTTGAAGCTTTTGACATGCATGAGTTTTCATCATCAGGGGAGTGAGTGAGAAAATAAAATAAAGTGGATTTTAAGAAGTAGATGGTGTCCTTATTTTTGGAAAACTTAATCGAATGCAGCTTGAAGCAGCAACTCTCATGTGACACCAATAATATTATAAATCTGTTTGTCTCACCCTTAGTTACTTAACACGACCATTACACCTTGCCAATACTTCATAAATAATGGATTATTCCATGTTGATCATTTGAAAAGCCAGAAGAGACATAACAGTGACACTACTTGGTTTCAATGAGAAGATGAAAGAAAGAGGAGAGATAGAAGAGGCAATAACACTCTCATCTGTGTAATGTCTGTTTCAGTGAAATGGAAAAAGTTGTCAGTTTCAAATCTTTTCATTGGTACCTCTTCATTTATAATTGTTATTACAATATTTTGTTAAAGTTGTTATGCCCAAATATTTAATGATCCTACAGGAGAATTTCTATGGATATTCTATTTTTGTAAAACTTGCCATGATATTATTCAATCATAAACTGAAGATTCCAGATTAATTAGAAAATTCAAATCAAAAAACTGCAAAATTTCTAGTATATTCTAGCATATAATAATGCTTTTAGGATAGTAAACAATGTGTTTAGAGTAACGGTTTTTATATGTATTCAAGAATGTGGGTCTCGTGCTACAATTATTTTAATTTATAGATGGTTGCTTATGTTAGATGTAAATGACTTCTATAATCTTTAGTGTTTTATTAAAATTTGATTTATGACGTTTACTAAAATTATTAGAAAGGCACTGTTTATTATTATTGTAATTCTTGTGGTATATTAGAAATGGTTGGTTGATTGTTTTCAGTATATCAACATCTATAGGTAATTTACAGGGCAAAATCTAAATATTTTGTGTACAGATTTTAGTTTATTTTTGGTGATAATAATGATTTAGTGATACAAGTTTTACTAATTAACCAATAGCTGGTGAGGGAAGAGGTGGATTCATACCTTTCCCAAATGAATATAATAAACCCAAATGGAATTGAAGCTTGGCCCTCTGATAGCAATTCTGAGCTATTATCCATTACGCCACTTACATAACCAAGCTTACAACACCTGATATTCACAAGAAGTTACCCATCTAGATTCTGACTTGGCTCAACCTTGCTTAACTTCGCTGATCATACAGGAACCAGTGTTTCAACTTGATGTAACCATAAGTCAGAAGTTCCTAAATGGTGTGGTGCACCTGATAAGTGCTATAGAAGCGGGTGGGGTAGAATGATTGAAAGACAAAGATTTAGAGTTTCAAAAAATTCATGTTATATGTCAAAAATAAATATGATTTCAAAATTTAAAATATTATGGATTACTTGTAATTGCATGCTTGACTCTCAGTATAAATAGTTATAAATAATTATTGAGCAATTTTATCATTGTGATATTTTTACATGATATCAAGTATTAAGAATATAGTAACTAGGATTTGCAAATTGAAGAAAAGAGTTATCATTGCTAATGTTCTGACTTCAACTCCACAGTCATCTCCCTTTAACCTTTTCTCTGGACCTTCTTTGCTATAGAGCTGCTTGCACCTTTTCAACAGAACTTCTATTTAGTGAGGTGCGAACAAATTTTCATTCAGAAAATGCAGCAGAGATAAAAAGTTTAGGAACCACTGCCATAAGTGGTGTATTAGAAAAAAGATTATTAAATTTAAATAACATAAAATGTCTCAAATTTTGGTACCAAATGTCTAAATAAACAATTGCTACCCAAAAATGCTGAATTTAAATTTTTCCTTAATGTACAATGCCCTTATTATTAAACACAATAAGGGAATTGATCTGTCTTTGAATTGCTTCAGTGCTATCTGTGCTTGGGGATGCAGTTTGTTTTTGTTTTGTTTTTTAAATTATCAATTACTGGTTTTCTATATACAAAATTTTTCTCTGTACTATTGGCCTTGCAACACAATTTTTCACCTGTTGATTGTAAATAAAAAAAACAAACTTTTACTTCTTTGCTCCAGTCAACTTCAAACAAAGGGCACAGGATATGACCAGAAAAGCACAGAGGATAATGGACAAAAGTTCCAATGTCATGAACAGAATTGACCATATTCTTAACAATTTACCTGAAGACCAAAAATGGCATAATCTAACTGTTGCAAACATCCAAGATATCAACCACTCTCTCATGAACAGTTTCAAACAATGTAAGTTTGTTTATTATTACAGAAGAGATGATTTTCCCCTTTTTTTACTGCTTTGAAATTTATTTTGCTTAAATAACAATATATGAAAAAAAAAATAACTTTGTTGAATGTTTTAAATGAAAAACTCAAAATAGAAAAGTTAAGGACAATCTTGGATTGAGTAAGCTTATTTTTTGTTACAACAAATAATTCTTCTCTCCTTCAAAATGCTTTTGGAAACTATGATGAGACATAAAGAAAAGGGGCAAACATGGATAAAAGTGTCCACAAGAAGACATACTGTCAAAAGGACAGTTTTTCCCATGATGCCACTTTTTTAACTAACTTCATTTTTCAGCAATGTTTATAAATATTATATACCATGTATGATGCAACCCCCTTAAAATTAGCTTCAAAATTAGTTCTTGAAAAGTCACATGATATGTGAGTATATAGAGTAAATATTTTATTAAACAGAATAGACATGGAATGCCTTATTTATATTTGGACTAATGCTCTCATTTTTGTTGTTATCAGAGTATTTCAGTCATTGTGCCTTCCAACCATCATCACAACAACTGTGATAATAACATCAAGGTTGAAACCTTTAATCCAAATGTAAATAGTGATTACTCTTCATCCCAGAAATTCATACAAACACCTAGAATATCTGTTAAGCCTTTTGGAGCACACAGAATATTACACACAATTTTGGAAAGTTTCTACAAAAAATTTCCGCATCAAACAACTCTTTCACGAAACGCACTGAAAAACTTAATAGATATTTCCATGTCTGTCCTATTTAATTAAATGCGTTACATGAAAGTTTTCTGCCTGTTTAAAATATATAAACCATTAGAATTTTTTTGTTTTGTAGTGAACAGTGCCAAAGCCCTTCTACCTAATATCACAACCCTGGTGCAAGATCTTTACAAACGAATCAATACACCTGTGGCCAAATTATCAAATGCATCTTTTGATGTGAATGCACTGAGAAAGATGATTGAAACAGCCAGGTCACAGGCCAACGAGGTAAGCACATCTCTCTGTCTCTTCGTTTGTCCATTAGTTTTCCAATCTACCAATCACTCAAATCAGTTTTGGTCTGTGATAATATATATCTATAGAATGGCAATCAGAATTTTTACCACATTGATATCAAATTCCATGTCAGCTGTCATGTTTCTGCAGATTTCTATGCTGTCAACTTTGCCGTAGAATTCCATGATGCCTGATTTGGTTGCCAAATCCTATATACTTTGAACTTGCCGCAGAATTCTATGTAGGATGACTTTTGTGCAGAATTCTTTTAAATTATATACAGTCTAACTTTGTTGCAGAATTCTAAGCTCTCTGACTTTACAGTAGAATTCTGTCCAGTCTAACTTTTGTACAGAATTTTATTGAGTGTGTATTTTGTGCAGAATTTTATTGACTGTGACTTTCGTGCAGAATTTTATTGAGTGTGACTTTTGTGCAGAATTTTATTGAGTGTGTATTTTGTTCAGAATTTTATTGACTGTGACTTTTGTTCAGAATTTTATTGAGTGTGTATTTTGTTCAGAATTTTATTGAGTGTGTATTTTGTTCAGAATTTTATTGAGTGTGACATTTGTGCAGAATTTTATTGAGTCTGACATTTGTGCAGAATTTTATTGAGTGTGACATTTGTGCAGAATCTTATTGAGTGTGACTTTTGTGCAGAATTTTATTGAGTGTGACTTTTGACCATAATTTTGTGAATTTGTGCAGAATTGATGCAGTCTGAATTTTCTGCAGAATTCTGTGCAGTCTATCTTTGCTGCAGAATTATATGAAGTCTTTCACTGTATGAGTTAATGCAGATCCCTATTATAGTTTGTCAAATTTTGTACAATATGTAAAAAAAAACAAATTGAAGCACAAACATCAGTGTCCCTGAAATGCACAAATACACATTTATTTTTCACGTCTCTATTCAGTCTACCAATCTTTGAATCAGTGGCTCAAAGAAACAATTTAAATAATAAATTAGTTGCAAAATAACATATTTCTTGATGTATCTCATTTCGCTTGGACATTCCAGATTGTTGTTGGACTTCGGTTATTCCCAAACACCACAGTGAGGCTGAGAAATCCACCTGTGCAGTACATGTCAGATTCATACAATAAAATAACAATGCATGTGAAAACCAAAAACACTGATGGCCTCCTTGCTTATATTGGTAGTCCACTAATGAAGAACAACAACAAAAAGGTAAGATGTTAAAGAATTTGAATCTAGATTTAAGAACCTGTAATTCAGTCTTTTGGATAATTTAAAGAAACATCACACACAATGGACAGTATTTCCCAGATTTCCATTGTAGAAATTTATTAAATATAAGCACTCTTTTTTTTTTTTATAGTTACAATTATTCATTTCAGAAAGTCAAATAATATTATATCTAGTAGTAGTAGTAATGGAGGCATGGTGGAGTAATGGATAGCAGCTTGAATTGAGGAATCGGTGAGCCGAGTTCAAATTCCAGTCGAATCCTTTACATTCATTTATGTTCTAATATCCTTGGGAAAGTTATGAATCCTCTTCTTCTCCCCCAGCTATGGGTAATAGCAGGACAGACATGGTTCTATAGCCTTGGATAGCAACTGGTCTACCACAGAAAGAAATGGCAGCCTACTGTGGGAAAAATCTGCCTCGTCAGTCATGTATCGAAAGATACATGATCAGCTATGCATGTATCATGCATGCCATGTAACTGAGTAGTAGTAGTAGCAGTAGCAGTAGCAGTAGTAAGCACCCGTTTGCATTGGGATCCTCATCTTCCCTCCTTATTCCCTTTCTCTCGTCTGGTGCCGGGGATGGGTGTGAAGGCCCAGCCTACTCCTGAAGAGTTGTCAGAGAGAGTTTGACAGGGCTGTTTGCATGAATTTGATTTTGGTGGACAACTTTGCATGACAGAGAAGTCAACACATTTGAACAGAAGCACGTCCCTTGCAGATCAAAGGGGATTAGGGGCAGGTGAGATCTGACAAACCTGGATGCATTGGGCTGTCAGATGCTTGGTCTGTCAATGTTCACCATCGTTATGCCAGCCTGATTAGCACTGGCCACTTAATAATATGAATATAAATAAAGCAAGAGAAATAAAATGAAAGAAATACTAATGAAAAATTAATAATAATTGACAGTGCTTCCTCTAAGGAATTCAAATGATATTACGTTTAATACTCCGTGTAGTACTAGTATAGTATTATATATATTAGTATTAGTGTTATACTATGAGTTTAAATAAAGCAAGAGAAATAAAATGAAAGAAATACTAGTGAAAAATTAATAATAATTGATACTCCTGGGTATGCCAATAAACTACATAAGTAGCAAGGCCTCAGTTTTGAGTTTGAGGAGCATGGGATCACTTCATAATTGCTGTCATTCCCAGGTCCACCTTAAACTGGGGTGGTAGCACTTATTAGGGGACCCAGCTATGGGCAAATAGGGAACCCAAAACAAAATACTATGAAAGTATAAAAATACTTATTTATAGTAAAATTATCAACAATACATTTTTATAGGAAAATGACCAACAATACAAGTTGAAAACATACAATTGCATTAAAAAATATATTTAGTTGAAGGCATACAATTGCATTAAAAATATATTTAGTTGAAGGCATATGCTTGCATTGAAAATATTTAATTTTGTATACAAAATATTGATATTTCAGCATTAAATAACCCATAGAGTTTGATATGCTGCTAAAAAAAAATCAACCGACTAACCAATAATAATAGACAATGCTTTGTCTGAAAAATACAAATAATGTGACATATATTACTTTATGGTAAATAAAGCAAGAGAAATAAGATGAAAGAAATATAAGCCAAGAATTAATAATAATTGACAATGGGTCATCAAAGAAATTTTAAGTTTATTTTTATAGACATTTCATGCCACAATGTTGCAGTTCAACATTATGCCTTTAATCAAATCTCAAGTCTCCAAATTTGTTATATTTTCATTTGCTTCAACAG